TTCATTACTAACTAATATCAAAGAAGTTATGACCATTCTTATACTAGAAGATAATGTTTTAAGTAATAGAGCCTCTATCAATAGACTAAAATAGTTCATAAAGGATATCTTTTTCTTAGATCTCAAAGATTCATTGGATCATGGTGCAAGGGAAATTTTAGCATAGTTGTAAAAGGATATTTATCCTTTTATTAGTATTAAAGATATTTCAATAAAAGTGTTACATGACTATAAAACTATCCAATAATCTTTTAAAGGTTAAAGAGAATAATGGGAGACTAAATATTCAATTGTCCAACAAGTTAACTAGCTTTTTAAAAATGCTTCTCTCTAGGTTTAATCCTAATAAGTCAGCGTGGCTTGTATAAGAGAAGAACTAATTAAAGTTGAGAAGGGAAATATCAAAGTCAAAATTAATATGGTCTCTGTAAAGATTGAAGTCATGAATCAAATAGAAAAATATATATCTCTCTAGAAGTTAGCAACCACCACCTTTACTTTCCTTAAATAGTGAAGACCATCAAGGAACAAGGTTTTGAATGACTGGATTTTTGAAACTAAATAATCAAACATTAACTTAGTTATATAGTTGAAATATCAAAATAATAATTTATTTATTAAATCTTTTGGATGGTTTATCTATATAGATGATAATAGATCTACTAATGTGAGTTAAACCCTTGGTTGAAAGTTCAAGCCTAGCCATTCTAAGGTATGTTTTATTTTGTCACTCTCGGTTATTATCTTGTGGTAATACTTGGTGAATTAACAATTTTAAATTTGGTTTCTCATGTTTATAACTTATGATTAATTATTGATCAAGTCATATAAGTGAATGACCAATGAGCTTAAATTGGCCTTAATGACCTAGCTAAATCCAAGGGAGTGTTCGTGAATGATGCTTGAATGAGTTCACCAATCCTACAACACTTAGATTTCACTTATAAATATTTGCTGAATGAAGATTATATGCCTTAGTTCCATTCAACAAGATCTGGTGATATGAAGGTCCTTTTTGGAAAAAGTTTTGATAATGACCTTTCATTTTCTTGTGGTCTATTACTTATCAATCATTTTATTTTATATGATATTTATTTTATTTTGTTTATTTATTATTAAGCATTCATTGTGTGAACTTTTTCAAGAAAATCAATACTTCTGTTATTTGGTGAATATTGTCTTTAGAAACCTCTAGGTTCATTTTATTACTTTGAGAACGGGGAGAATGGTGTTATTCCTTTTAGTGTTCAAGATATTCCATGTAGAGTATATATACATTTAAATGCTAAGAGTGAATATCAAAGCCATTTTTAAGTATAACTTTTGAAAACAAAAGGAAGATTACTCATTAATACCTAATATAGTGCCCTACATGGAGCTTATTTAACCTTAGATATTTAGAGTGAATAACAAAAAAATTGATATAATTTTTTTTAAAAAACAAGATAGGTTATATTTTTTAAAGTTTTGAATGTCTTCCTAATTGGCCTTTTACTGCGAGTTAAAACTCAATAGACCTTGTAAACTTGTTTCAATGCTCAACATATATGAGTGGATGATTTTAATGCTTTTTGGGTTAAAAATGAAAGTATGCAACTAGAAAAAAAAAACCTTGTTTTATGTAAATTCTATTTCTGAGCACCAACTTGATGTTGTAATAAAGAATAAATGGTCAAGAACACAATAAATACAATATAAAAGCTATTTTAAAGGTCTCGGACAAATACAATTTTGGAAAACAAGAAATAAAGTTTGAAAATATTACGAGATTTAGGAATACATAAATCTTTCTACCTTGGTTGGCATAAGGTTGACCTTTTAAACAAAATTACATAGTCTTTGAATAACAATATATGCATTCCTCAACCAACAATCAATAACCAACATCATCAATGTAAAGGTACAAAAAATTAGACACTAGCGATCCATTAAAGGAAAACCTAATATACCTAATCAGGATTGTCAATAAAAAAAACATAATACATAACATTCAAAAGGTAGTAAGCAATAAACCTAATAACACAACTCATATAAAGGGTATAAAAGAGCCTTTATTTAGCCAAAGGAATACTAAATGTAATCTTTCTCTAATTTTTTTGCTTAATAAGGGTAAGCCTTGCCTTTTTAGGCCATCAATACCATAAAACCATTCAATCTAACGTAACTTAAACAAGCACAAGTTTTAGATCATAACTGTTTTTCAATAAAAATTAACATATATAGAACATCAACACACACATAGAAACTTAAAACTAAAAAATAAATGATAAAAAGGTAAAGATTGGTATCTAGATGAAAATGATGAAAATATAAAGGTATTAACAAGACTGGGTGGCCAAAGATCATATGGCTTATAGAAACCCTAAACATTGACTAAAAACTTTTAAGCTATAAAACTTGAAAACCTAGAAAAAAGAGTTTAAAACATTAAGCTTTGATTGCTATTATCATTAAAAAATGACTCTCACAATGGTTGTCAATCTCTATGACTTGTTTCCTTTTACTTTACAACTATACTCTCCAAGACTCCTCTAAAACTCCCTCTTATACTTTTGTGTGTGTGTATCAAATATACCCGACTTATGCTACCTAGAAAGACATAACCTTAGGATTAATAGTAAGCTAATCTAAATTATTCATAAGATATAGCCAAAAAAGGACATGTAAAGCTAGCTATGGAGGTATAAATGTAAAATTCTATAATTTTATTTGAAGGAAATAGTTTTTTTAGTTTATTTTTCTTACTCAATATTACTATGATTTTCTACTCTTTTTTTTTCTATAAATGATTGTAATAATCTTTTGGCAAATGGAGACATTGATTAATAAAATTAGGTATTTTGAGAGTCTCTTATAGTTATAGTGTTCTTATTATATAAGAATTTTGACTTATAATAAACCTCGTTATTTTTCATTCTTGACTATATCATTTATAGTTGTGAAGTCTGTATGATTTTCAAGTAATAAAAAACACATTAAAAAAAGAAGAAGAAGTATATTGATAATGAAACATAGTTTATCTACACCAATGACACAACTAAAATATTGATATCTTCTTCCAAGTGTAGGAATGTCAAAGAAATAAATAACCTGGTAAGACCAGGTCGAACCACAGAGGGGTTAACTATATAATAATAATAATAATAATAATGGTGGTGATGGTAGTGAGTTAAAGATGACTTTGAGATGTAAGATTAATGTGAAGATTAAATAATAATAAAAATAATTCTTAAGATTAGAGGATCCACTAATGGTATTTCAAAGAAGTATAATATATATTCTTTTTATTACTCAATTGGAAACTACACATAAAAAAGATTCCAATCAGATGTTTGTTATTAATAGCTCATTATAAATTATTAACATAATCATATTAATTATCTTATTTAAGTAACACCAAACTTTTAAATATTGTCAAGAATTCATTATGCTAACTTATGTTAACAACAAATCAAGTTCTTTTCATAGCATAGGTGTAGGTTATACCATAAAGTTGGCTATGAAAGTGTTAAATATTTGTTATACCAAGTATTATACAACACAAATGATATTATTTTGACTTTTCTAATAAAACAACAAGATTTGGTTGATTTTGGTCAACTCACTCAACCGTGATCCAATAATTGTCATAGATTTACTTTCGAGTAAGATTTATAAACAATGTGAAAAACCAAAGACACCAAATCCTAATAAATTAAATGTCGAATGATGAAATAAAAAAATTAAGAATAAAAAATAATAATTAAGAGAATAAGGACCTCATTTGAAAAACAAATTTGAGATGATACACTAAAATTTTGAATTGAAGGGAAAAATTAAAAAAAAAATCGAATTGACAAATAAATCCAAAATCAAAAATCAAAATAAAAAAAATGAGGATCAAATTAAAAAAATAAATAATCAAGATTTTTGATCTCAGGATGAAATCAAAAACAAGTTAAAATTAAAAAAAAAAAGAAGGCTAAGAATCAAAATTAGAAATCAAAACATTTAGGGTCAAATCTTAAATATTGAATTGAAGGGACAAATTAAAAAAATAAATTAAATTCATAAAAAATTTCAAAAAAAAAAATAAAAATGAAGAAAATGAAGACCAAATATGAAATAAAAATAAAAATAAGATTATGAATTCAAAGATGAAATTGAAAATAAATTAAAATTTGATAAAAAAAAATAAGAATTTAAGTTAGAAATTAAAACATTGAGAGTTAAACATGTAACATCGTAAAATAAAAGGATAAATTTTATATAGAAATCAAAAGCCAAATTATCAAATTGAAAAAAATCAATATAATTAAAAAAATAATGACTAAATATGATAAACTTAACAATTAACACATTTCTAATTTTTTGCAAGGTCGGTATATTTTTCAAAGTTGAAGAGAAAAAAAAAAGGAGTAAAAAAAATATCGTCGGAGTTTTATTATGTGAAAAAAAAAGGAGTAAAAAAAATATCGTCGAAGTTTTGTTATGTGAAGGCTATATACACTACACCACTGTGAAACGAGAGGGAGAACACATCAAATAGCACCCTAAATATGATATTTGGTTACCAATAAATACACAATACTGCCTGAAAGATGTAAATGCTCTTAAACACCAATAACTTTTTTTTTTAATTTAATCCATTCAAATGTTAAATTTTCCTTGCCCCAAAATATTAACAAAAAATAAATAAAAAAAAACTCTTAAGTTTAGGTTTAGAATAATTGATTCTAACGATAATTTAATAACTATATTATGCTAAAAAAATAAAAACCAAAAGCGCATAGGCCTTTATTGTTAAAAAAATTTAATTTTTAAGGATATTTTAAATATTATATCATGCAAATTAAAAATTAAAAAAATTGTTTATTTTATTTAGATTTGTAACAGTAAATATGTCACGTGAGAAATATTACATTACCTTTGAAAGCATCCTATGAAACTTAAATTATTAAGTACAAAATAATACACGAAATAACTATGTGCCCGGTGAAACACATAGTTGTTTTAGTTTTTGTATAAATAACGCCCGGCCCTCACGCTCAAGATAGCCTCTTGAAAAGCAAAGTTCCTCCTCCTCTAGGGTTTTCGCCATTTATTCAAGCCCAATAAATCAAAGCGAAGCAATTATGACAGGAAAGGCTAAGCCAAAGAAGCACACAGCAAAGGAGATCGCTGCAAAAGTAGATGCGGCGACAACAAACAGAGGTGGAGGAAAAGCAGGGCAAGCAGACAGGACAGGGCAAGAAAAAGGAGGTCATGCCAAATATGAGTGTCCTCACTGCAAGATAACGGCCCCTGATATTAAAACCATGCAGATCCATCATGATGCTCGACACCCAAAACTTCCTTTTGAGGAAGACAAGCTTGCCAATCTTCATGCTGTTCATGTTGCTGATTCTTCCAAACCTCGTCCTGGTGTTAAAGGAAGCCACAAGAAGTGAAGTTTATTACAAGAAATAACAACAATAATAATAGTAATTATTATTATTGTTGTTGTTGCTGCTGCTGTTGTTGTTAATTGTATCTTTTCCCTTTATTTTGTTTTCTGGGTATGTTTGTGGTGTTTGGATGATGTTATGTTTTTGAGGATGATGGTATTGTGAAATAATTTTTTTTTTTAAATCTTTGATGTCATATGGGTGTTTTCCAAAATTTATTGCTGCTCTTTTCTGATTTGGTTAAATCTTGGATTTTGTTTCCTATACTGTGATGATGATGAATTTATTAGCTGTGTGTGTAATTAAAATCACTAGTTGGCAATTGATAAGCATGAAATTAGCCACGATTGCCAGCGTAGCAGTGTGCTGCCAGGCAAGGAAGCAAGGCAGTCGCTGCTACGGATGAGGGAAAGTTTCATCTTCTTTCTCCTCCTCGATGGTAATTAAATAGCCTTTCTTTGGTGCCTTAGGAATGTCGCGTAGTCTAGTAAGGGCAGCTGGAAGGAATGGTCTGTTGTTCTGTGAATGAATAGACTAAAAGGAATGGAATCTTGTAGCTTGTTGAGCTGTTATTCACACTTCCAAAATTCAATATCCAGTCCACGGACTAGGAGTAGGCTTCCAAACACGTGAAGTTCACTATGTTGTTATTTCTTTTTAAATTATGATTTTCATCTGCGTAGCTTGACTTGTTGATTGTGCATTACCGTTTGTGAGAATAGAATATTGCTTATCTTGTGGTGGAAGTGTAATGATGTTCAGAATGCATGTTAATATTTCTCTAGGATGTTTGCTAGTGGAATTTAGAAGATATTTGATTTTGGGTCATAATATGGATTATTTTATTTATCGATTTTGATTATTTTCAGTAATTTTGGGGAAGGAAGTTCAAAATCATCTTGACTGGAGAAGAGGGCTGGCTACTAATTAGGATATTGTCTGCACTTTGGATCATTTAAGTCTTCTACGATATCCTTCACAGGTATGCCCCAAGGGGATGACTCTAATATATGATCAAATACATTCAAGCTAGGTGGATCACATATAGATCCATCATAGTTTCTAGCTTTGGGAAATAAGTAATGGTTTTCTGTAGTTCTTAACTAAGGTGATAATGATAGTATGGCAGATTGATTTTCATTTATTTTTGTTTTTTTTTCCTTTTGGTATACTCTTTCTACTTGGGTGACTATCTGCATCCTTTTGCTTTCTTAACCTGTCTTCACACACAAAATAAATAAATAAAAGAACTTAGAGCTTTGGAGGTTGGTGGTCGATGGTTGAAGGTGGTTTCTGATTACCTGGACCTTTTATTTCAATGATAGTGCTCTTGGTGGTCTGCAGGACTGGTAAAGCAAGCTCACATACACTCTAATATATATGTATGTATGCACGTATGATTGCTCCTTGGTGTATATGTAGATGTTCAATTACTTAACTCTCATTTAAGTAGTTGTTGTTGGGCAATAATTTTTCTTTTGAACTTGTATGAAACTGAACTAAATATTCTCTAAGGAACTGCATTGTCATGCCCCATTGTTTATAGTGGAAACTATTTAAGAGTTTCTGTAGTGATGGTGGAAAACTCAAGAGAGGAAGTAATACTTTGACAAAAAAATAATATGATTCTAAACTTAGATAGCATCTGGTTACTGTTTCAAAACAGAAGAGGTGGAGATAGTGAGACATAGGAGAGAAAACGAAGGTGTACAAGATAGAGTGATGGTCTCTGAATCTTGTTTGGTTGATGGTGTATAAGACATAATAAAATATGAAAAGATCTATTTTACCTTTAATATGTATTACTATGATGCTTATATATTTTAGGAAATAACTAGATATATATATATATATATATATATTTTTTAATTTAGTTTATATTAAGTATAGTATAATAACCCTAGTTGTAAAACCCCGATTAGTCTGGCGAGTTGATTACACTTCGCTGATCTGGGGCTTCGATCGGCCTGGATTCAAGAAAAATAGTGGAAGGATTGACTTGGTTTGACTTGACCAAATCCCAGGTTGACTTGCGATTTGGTTGACCTAGGCTAAAAACCAGGTAAAAAAACTTGTTGATTTTTTTTGAATTTTCTTTTTTGTTTAACCATTGTTAACCCTTTTGACTCTTGTTCAAATTCAGGGGTTAAATTTATGATAATAATTGTTTTTATCTTTACATATCTTGGATTGATAATTTTGAAATTAAGAGTTTTTTTCCATGCATATATTAAGGATAAAAAATAATAAATATTGTTTCTGAAGATATGGTGTGTTCTTGTGCTAAAATCCACTCTAAAATTGTTTTATGAATGAACTTATTTTATAGTCATTGTGTTTTCAACCAAACGCATGCCTTTTATATTTCATAAAAATAATCAAGCACTGTTTTTGCCCTGTTTTTGCCTCTATATATATGGAAGCTCTTTATGTTTGTCTGGAAAGAATGTAAGAATTACAATCTTTGTTGCTCTGAATGAATGTGTTCTACAAGGTTAATGTTTTGTAGATTTCATGTCAAAATAGAGATTTTGTTGATTGGCAAGGTTTTCTTCTCTTTGCTGGGAGAAAAGATTAAGTTGATGGTGAGGTTTTTGGATTGAGGTTTTCTATGATAAATTTTTAAACTTTACTGTTTTGCAACAACATACGTTTAGTAGGGTTTTAAATTTTGATCTGTATAATAGAAACTCATCGTCTTGGATGTATAGGATGGTGATTCGTTTGAAGATTTTGATTAAGTGCGTGTGTAGGAGTTAGGAGCGTGGAGGATGTTGTGTTTTAAAATATATATATTTTTATTTTTTAAAATTCAATTTTAAAATGATTCAAAAGTATTAAAAATTTTAATTTTTTTTTAAAATAAATTTAGATAAATATTGTTTTCACTGCAATGCTAAAAATGCTACGTTTAAGAGGTGTTTGGTGTGTTTAGCACCGTGTTTTAAAAATGTTTTTGGAAAAAATTAATTTTTTATTTGTTTTGAATTAATATATTTTTAATATTTTTAAATTATTTTAATAGGTTGATCCTAAAAATATTTTTCTGAGTTAAAAATGTTTTAAAAAGCAATTATAATCATATTTTTAAACACAGTTTAGAAATACTGGGTGAGGAATAGTTATGGATTTTTGTATATAAAAGATAGGAAGTTTTTTTTTTAAGAAATAAATTTTAGATAAATATTGTTTTCACTGCAAATGCTAAAAACGCTACGTCTAAACCTCAACCTCAACGTATACAGGGTGAGGAATTGTTATAGATATTTGTATAAAAGATAGGAAAAATATGTTTTGTAAGATAATTATTCTTTTTTTAATTCATTCCTTTTTGTCTGTTTGGCTGAAGCTACGTTATGTTTTTTTTAATTAGTAGCTTGTTTTTTGAATACGAAGTAAGAAAGTAAAAATATATTTTTTTAATAATTTGAAATAATCTGGTAAAGAATTATCTCTTTGACCTAGACTCTGTTTCTTTATTCATACAATTATTTTTGTTTTGTTTTAATGTATCTATGCTTTTGTTTTACATGTACTTTTTAATAATAAAATTTATCATGATTTGGAAACAAGTTTGAATAAAAAACATTAAATCATATCTCAATATTTTTGCATAGTTATATAAGAAAATTATGTAAAAAAACTATAATTTAAAAAATAACAAAATGAAAATTACAAAGTTTATTTTTATTAAATATTTATAATCACACTTTAAAAAGTTTTTTAATATTAGGTTTATAATAATTGATTAAATTTTTTTTTAATTTTATTTGAAAATAATGGCAATTTTGAATGATATAGTTGATTGAATAATAGTTTAAATAATATTTTAATTGTTTTATTTATTCAAAACCTAAGGAAAAAAGAAATAAAAAATCTAAAAAGCAATGTAAAAAGAGGTAGGTGAACGGGGCTAGAAGGGTGGGCCAGTGTGTCTGGCATGATACAAGGAAGTCTAGACGTCTATGGAAGGTTAGGCCAGCTCGTGTCTTCCTCCCTTTTTTTTTTTTTTAAAAAAAAAATAGGCTAACAAAATAAATGTTGTCTGCTGTTTATATCTATAAAAAGAATGTGGTTACCTTCCTATTAATACCAATTTGAGCCCTTTTTTTGTTCTAGAATGTTACCTTCCTATTAATATGACCTTTTCTCCTCTACCCTAAAACTAAAAAACTAAAACTAAAAAAAAAAAAATAATAATTTATGACCTAAATATAAAATCTTAAAATCAAAAGAATAACAAATGTATAAATAGACTTTTTGGATGAAAAATGAATTTTTTGCATGAAAATGAAAAACTACTTTGTTTTATTTGGTTTTTCTTCTTTTAAATGCTTTTTATACTGTAAATTTAATTTTTATCTAATTAAATTTAAAAAGTTGTCAATCACTTTGAATTCATTGAATGTGAAAAAAAAGAAGAAAATCTCAACAAATGAAATATCACCAAACAAAACATGCAAGGATGAATTTGGAAAAAAAAAGTTTATTGACAATAATGAAAAATTTTAAAAATAGAATTGTTCATGGAATAATGGTGTCCAGGGTGAGTTTAGGCAAGTGAACAATAATGCATAACAAAAAAATATTTTGTGCTTGTTATTTTCCAATGTAATGTTGTGAGTGAGTTGTCAAAAAAAAAATATTTAGTTATTTTACAATTAAAATAGATATTTACACGGAAAACAACAATTTAAATTCTAGACAGAAAATACATTTTGTAACATGAATTATTCTTTTCTTATTCATGTATTTATTTATGTTTAAATAAAATATTTTTTATTAGCACCATAATTTTTGGAATTAAAGGAAAAAAAAATAAAATAAAGGTTCATAAAAATAAAGGTTCATTTTTTAATTAGTTTTTTATACCTAAACTCTTTAACATAAACTTGTTTTTTTTTAAAAAAAAAAAAATAGAAGCAATTTTTTAAATACAAATTTATAATGATCTCAAAAACCAATTTTAATAATAATAAAAAAACATTGGAATAATGCCTTGATATTTTGTATAACATTGAAAGGAAAGAAATTAATTAACATGATAAATCGTGCCAACATTCTATTAAAAATAACAGAAAAAAAATGATGAGAAAATTTTTATTCTTCTTGCATACCAAGTATATAATAATTAAAAACTAATTAATTAATATTACCATAGAAGCCTGTAATATTTTTTAAAAACAATAAAAAAAATAAATAATTATTTTAATTATTTTATTATAGTGCATTTGAATAAAAATTAAAGAAAAAAGATTAAAGGACTAAGAAAAAGGTCAAGTGCTTTACCCTAAAAGGTTGGGCTCGAATGCCTAGCTCGGCTAACTTTCTTTTCTTTTTTTTTTTTTTTTTTGTTAAATTAGGTGTTTTGTGAAAAAATAAAAGTAAATATGTAACACCATTGTTTATAGTGACAAACAACTTGTGGTCTGCTAGTAAAGTTTTTGGTAGTTAGAAAATTAGGTTACGAGTTTGTAGACTCTAAATCCCATTTCTCAATCATTCTTTCACCTAAAAACACTAAAGAAACATCATAAGAACCTTATTAAACCTTTTTCCAACCTCTAAACACTTTTAAATTGATCAAAATTAAAAAAATAACCAAATCAAAAAACATTTTTTAAGTTCTAATTTACTTTTTTCTAGTAAGATGAAAGTCCTAAATTATCCCAATAGCACTCCTCTAGTTAAGAGGAACTTATTTTTTTATAGCTCTAATGTGGCCAACCGACTACTTTCTTTCTTACCCTTTTTTTTGGATGATTTTTTCTCTCATTTCTAAAAAAATAGGGATTGGAATGTAAAAAAAAAATGAAGCTTGGATCCTAAACTTAAAAAACTAACATTAAAGGTGTCATAATCTATTTTTTTCATCATTTTATTAATAACTTTCAAGAAAATCCAAAAAATATATATATTTGATGTATTTGTGTTATTTTCAGCATTTTCAATATCTTTTAAAAAGAATTCAAAATTCAAACTTATTTTCAACTATTAATGCATTCATTTCAAAATCATTGTTTAATTTTCTTATTGAGTCGGCGTTGACGTTGTCTTTTTCAAAAATATCAAAATACAAAAAAATAATAAAAAATATATGAACAAGGGAGATCCTCAAGAGGAAAATCACATAGAAAAAAAAAGAAAGAAAATACATAGAAATCGATAGA